AAAAACAAAAATATTATCAGAAAAAAAAGGTGTCGGTATTAAATAACCCATTGAGGTTGATATGTCGTAAAACAAAATAAACCAACTGAAGTAATGGGAATAGGTTCGAAATTCAAACAAATGTCACCTGAAGAAGGCCGGATCATACATCGACCGAAACGTCGCGAATATATCGATAAAGATAAGGACAGTTCGAATGTGTAAATAGTGTAAATAATTACAATATATCATAAACAGATGACAATGTAATGGTTAGTAAATTGTCTCAGGTATGAAATAAAACAAAAAATACGGCAAACCCATTTGCACCAAAGAACATATTACGAATGAGTAGTGAGTTCAATCCTCACTTGGTGCTCCATACTTCCGGCCTTTGTGCCACATCTAAGCAGCACTTAGAAAATCGGCATTAAATAACCCAGTGTGGTTGGATATGCCATAAAACAAAACATATATATATATATATATATATATATATATATATATATATAAAAAGAAAGAGGTTGTAGTGGTTCCAACGAGAGAAAAGTATGTATATTAAAAAGAAGAGAAGAGAGGTGCAAAACGTTTTTGGTTGTAATGTGTTTTTTTTAGAAAAAAAATATTATGTTTTATTTTCCATAATGGTCATCCCAAGTTTTACAAGTTCTTGACCCATGCCCTTATGCCTACATGAAAAACTACACATTATTAACTTTCTAAATAATAAAAATCTATTAAACAATAGACATGAGTTAACGGTTTTTTGCCGACATCATCAAATTTTTGCATTGAATAATTAGCATAAAAGCAAACAAACAATAAAATAATTTTTAAAATCCATAGTCCTAATAAATAGTTTAAATGCCCTACCAAAAAAGATAAACCTTATGAAGTCGTCAAAAAACAAATTTTAGCGATTTAGGACAGTTTTTATATACACATAACCCTTTCAGAAAAAAAATAAAAAAAAAAAAAAAAAAAAAAAAAAAAAATAAATAAATCTCCAGACACTTAACCAGACTAGGCGATGTCTTCTTCCGCTTTAAATTTAGACACACTGACCTTACCCTGACTTGACATCTGTGAATGTAACTGAGATATTGATACAAATTATTAACACCTTACGCCCCTTTTTTTAAACAATTGCTCTAGCAGTTACCATATACATTTTGATTTTTAATGAATATGCTTATAAAACACGTAAATTTCAGAAAAACAAATTTTAGAAGTTATTCAAAAAAAAAAAAAAAAAATTCGCTTGAAGATGGAACAGAGCTTTAGTACTTTAATTCAAATAATTATATTGAAGTTTTCGGCTCTTTTGTTTTGAAACATGAGAACTCTTATGTAGCGTGTTTGAATCATTTTTTAAATAATTATAATTATATATATATATATATATATATATATATATATATATGAACATTTGAAGGCGACAGTCTGGTTGAAGCTTAGACGCAATTAGCAGGCCCTGTGCGTGGAACAATAGCTCCACATTTTATATATGTATGGTACGGTTGGTTCATTTTTTTGCTATACTAGCGTTTATTGAAAGCAGGAAAAATGGTTCTTTACTGTCTATTGTATTTTCATAACCGCTATCGTGTAGGATTTTTATTAAACATCTAGGTGATTTAGTGATGGATTATAAGCTTAATGTTTATATTTAAGCCATTCTGCGATGGATCGTAAGTCTAGAATTTGAATTTAATGTGATTTGGTATTTTATTTATTATTTTATTTATTATGTTAATATTTAATGCAAATCTGTTCCGAATCATAAAATAAAAAACGTTATAAAACAACGATATCATTCAATTCGAAAAGGTTTTAATTGCTTTTATAAGATTTATTAAAGACGCTATTGTATTAAGTAATTTTTTTCAGTGAATAATGAATTTTTACAATAATTATGACACTTTTAAAAATTTTAATAATAAGAATTTATAATATATAAATCTTTTTAAATTATGTATTATTTTCATCAGGTTAGGTGATTATTCATAAGAGTCTGTCCTATTTCCTTTGTAGCGGACCTTGGGTTCACGTGTTGTTAAACTAGGAACACGTATGTTTATTCCTGCTAGAAGGTCCACCATTAAGAACATGGCGGACTCAGAGATTGAATCCACCATAAAGAAGGGTAAAGAAAACCAACAAGACCAATATATATATATATATATATATATATATATATATATATATATATATATATATATATATATCAACAAATATATGTATTAAACAACAAAATTTACAATGGACATAGACATCAACATTTGTGTTTGTGTGTGAAAATAAAGAGTTTTTATTTTGGCGAATGTTCGTACGTACGTGTATGTGTGTATAATGTTCATGGCATCTCCCACAAATGGAAAGACACAATCCTCTGCAAGAGCTTACATTGGAGATGTGTTCGCTGAAAATGAAGAATGGAAAAGAAAACGAGGCAAGATATCTCCCAGTATTTATAGTGTAGGGAGAGCGCCTCCTAGTGAGCAATCTGTACAATTAAGGAGGAGTTAACTTTAACACCTTTTTATTATTATTTATGTATTTGTTTTGTTTATTTTTCTACCTCCAATTTTTGTTGAAAAAATAGCATAGCTGGATGAAAAAGTAAAGTTTTATCGTCAAAATATTTATGTCATTATTAAAAGGAAAGACCAAAGTATTTTTATTATTTTATTAATTTCTTTCATCCGTTCTAGCACATTCGAAATTTGCTAAAAATCTTTTTTTTGCGTTAGAGGTCAACGTAATATTTAGGATTAGCGTTTGCAGATTAAAAACACATTGATTTGAATATTCTTGCAAAAATCAAATAATGAAATTTTCAGAACTTAGTCACAAATCAATGGTATTATTTTTTAAATTTGTTTTTACAAAATCTTGGTAATTTTTTTCTACATATGTTACTCTCCACTTCCTTAATTTCAGGAAATTTCAAGAAATAAATATTCATCCGATGTTTTTTATTAGTTAAAAACAGGAATCTTTCGAGAATGTAAATCATCAATTTTTTCAAACTACTACTGATTTTTCGAAAATCTGCTCCGAATCGTAAAATAAAAAACGTAATAAAACAACGACATTATTCAATTCGAAAAGCTTATTATTATGTTATTTTAAAAAAATTTAATTATAAGAATTTATGATATAGAAATCTTTGAAAATTATGTTTCATTTTCATCGGGTTAGGTGATTAAATGAAAATTTTATTTATTAATTAAAAATTGAAAAGCTTAATAATTTTGCATCAAGAATTTACAAATATTTTTTTTATTTATATAAAATATTATGTAACATTCCCATTTTTCAAAAGTATGGTCGACCATACACGATATTATCTGAAAATAAGAGCTGTGACTCTAGTAAAATTTATATTGTTAAAAAAAAATTAAATAATAAAAAATTAAATTAAATTAAAATGAAAGGAGAAAAGAAAAAAGTTCCCTATTTTTATTTTTTCCCAACACCCCCATCACTTCCGGTGTTGAATGAAGGCATTTAAGTTCTTGTGTGGCCTCTGGTTGATTCGGTGACCAAACCACTTGGCGAGACCTTGGCGGTCGAATCCGAGGTAGTGTTCCGTCAGCGTTCTTATCTTTTAAGATATATATATATATATATATATATATATATATATATATATAATTATTTATTCCAAAATTATAACATAAATATGTGATAAAATCACTACGAAAATAGACATTTTGTTTCAACATCTCTGGTGTTTTATCAAGTGATACTTGCATTTTGTAGTGATTTTATAACATATTTATTTTATAATTTTCGAATAAATAATTATATTCACTCTACTCTGTATTAACCACTCTTTTAAGAATAGTAATTGTTGGTTATTGAATTTATTCCGTATACACCACTCCCATATATTATATATATATATATATATATATATATATATATATCCGTTGGTATAATCCAGGTGAGTCCTATTGTGGCGGCTCAGTGTTTATATCAATGATACTTCCACGTACAGGATTCAAGTAATAATAACAACCACTCCAATTTGTTAACCAACAAATATATATTGAATAAAATACAACAAGCATGAAATAAAATCGTATTCACAAAAAGAAAGAAGTTGTTAACCCTTTAACTGTAGATTGATTCTAAACAACTGTTTGAAAAAAGTTCTCTTGTGAGATAAATTTTCCGAAATAATTGTTAGAGCAAAGTTTGCGTGTGAAGAATGAATAACACGAAGAATACAATTGATTGAAATGTGTTGTGAATAAACTGGTTTGAATCAACAAAGTTCTGGTTGATTGTGCTTGGCAAAAGTTACGGAGAAACAATTTTGTAAGTTTGTAGTTACGAAATTCTGTGTCTGTGTGTGCGTTGAGCAAGATCGTGGATTTGTGTTGACGACCGGAATCTTACAGAATCCCCTTTTAAAGAAAAAAGGTAGGCTCCCACGGAACCGCGGGAAAACTTGATCTTACATTAAAAATATGTAATTGGTTAAAAATTAACCAATCACTACACTCGTACTAAACAGAATAGGTAAGTATGCTCAGAAACAAAAGATTCAAAGGAAAGTCTGCGATGGCTAAATTGTCCTATACAAAGGTAGTAGTAATTTATTAGCCAATCGCAGGCGAATAAAATGACTTGGAGTGTATGTGGGTGTTAAAAACAGCAATCGCTATACTATTAACACAACATAGATATGAAATATGTTAAAACTGACTCACAGAAGAGCGCTCAATGTTTATTCACAATAAACAGAGCAAATTTTCTTTACAATTGGAATTACGATACCTTTAGTAAATGACCGTTTTTATGTACGAATTTTAATTTTAAAATTCGCAGGATTTTTTAAACTGTTTCTGGTATCGACTTGTAGTGTACTGTCGTGTAGTGTACACTACAAGCCGTAGGTGAAAATTGTCATTTACAAAAGGTATCGAAATTCCAACTGTAAAGTATATATATATATATATATATATATATATATATATATATATATATATATACGTGTATGTGGCAAAATGTTCACAGCCTTCCAGGTTGTAACTCCAAAGGAAATATATTATGTTTGGTCAGATGGTCAGTTTCAAGTGTGGAAGCTTTTACACGCACGCACCGGAAGGATGTAATTTTTCTCCTAATGTATAATGCCAAATCCAGAAGGTTGTCTGTTTTTATTTTCGGTCTAGTTCAAACAGAAACTTTGTAGAAGCACATTAGATTCCAGCAGGTAAAAGACATTTGGTAAACAAGTTAAGTATATTATAGACAATCTAGAAGAAATAAAATCTCCATAAAAAACAACTGGATAAGATATGGGAAGGCAGCTCTCAACAACTCTTTTGACAAATGTGTGATGCATTTCAGGCTAATGGCATTGTCCAGATTGACACACGTCCTTATAGAAAACATTTGTAGTTAAACTAAGATTTTACGTCATTTGCATTTTAATCATGAAACTGTTTGTTGATCAGATTAATTTCAGTTCAACATAAATAAAAATTCACCACTCTCTCTTTATATATATATATATATATATATATATATATATATATAACAAGTAAAATAAATTAATTTAAATTAATCCAAATAAATAAACTAACAAACCGATCCAGATAAATTAATCGTTAGAAAAAACAAGTAAAGATAAACAATACAAATAAATAAATGAAGTAATAAACAAATTAAGAACTGCTCCCGACAAAATAATAGTTAGAATAAACTACAACAATCAAACCCAAAATTGAATAAATAGCTTTAATTATATCCCCAAACCAAAACGAAACTTTTAAATAAGGGATACAAAGAATTTTTTACTTCGTTAATAAAACACCAATTAAAATAAAAATAAATAAATATATAAGAAAAGAAATAAAAATAAAGATCAAAATTGATAAAAATTAACAAAATAATTTAACCCAAATATATAAATAAATAAATAAACGCCTTCCGGCAAAATAACCACCAAAATAGACTACCCACAATGCACCACTGACCCGTATATTTAAATAGCAAAGAAAAAAAACACTCGTGGCCTGACAATTGCATCTAGCATGAAACAGCCTGTCAAAAAAGGCCTCTAAGTGTTGACTAGGACAATAAATGAACAGATTTCAGGAAGATGGAAGATGGCGATAATGCCACTAAGACGCAAAAGGTTACTGAGAGTGAAAGAGAATGAGAAGACTTTAGTGAGGAGAAAGGACAATAAAAGAACAGGTTTTAGGAAGATGGAAGATAGCGATAATGCCACTAAGACGCAAAAGGTTACTGAATGAAAGAGAATGAGAGGACTTTAGTGAAGAGAAAGGACAATAAAAGAAAATGTATCAGAAAGACAGAAGATAACAATTTCTTCTTATCAATTCGCCCCATTCAAGGCGATAATGGGTTATTGGGAAACAAAGAGAATGACAAGATTTTAGTGAGGTGAAAGGGAAATAAAAGAAGAGGATTCAGCAAGACATAGCGATTGACATTGAATTGAATTTTGTTTAATTAGGTGGAAATGAAGCCAGAAATTGAAACAAAATTCCACAGGTGGGAAGTGCAAGAAAAGAAACTATTACACCTAAGATCTTTCAACAGTAAAAGGACGGTTTCTAATTGTCAAACAATCAATTAGTTAAGTGCAATACATGAGACACGTTTAGTCAATCGTGTCTTTTTTCGATCCATGACGGACAAGAGAGAAGATTTTCCCCAGTTAGGTTGCCATTTCTTTCTGCGGTAGCCTGGCTGCCAACTAATATGTCCCGGAAAAGGGATCTATTTGAACGAAGTAGCTAAGTGGTTTTGGCTACTATAACCAAGTAGAATACAATAGCAGTAATCGACTGGTACACGTCGTAGTCGTAGGTAAGAAGTGTAGATCAATGGCGTAGTCCAACGGGCGTCCTTATAGACTTAGCTCTCAGACTAAGGCTCTCTTGACTCTCCTACACGTTCGTCGGTATTTATGACGGACACCAGACAATCATATTCCAGTCAGGGGGAACACAGGTGTACGCATATTCCATTATATCACCAACCAAGGCTATAAAACTCAGTCTCTCTTGCTATTCAATCCATAGCTAGAGGCACAATAGATGAGCCTTTCTCAAGGGTATTTGCGTGTAAGTGAATGTAACGAACCCAATTGAAATTCGATCTCATCTCTCCGAGTCCTCGTTCCATTACACCACAACGTCAGTTAAATTGATGCAGTCAAGATATAAAGGAGGAGGGCTTCTGTCATGATTTATAGAAAAGACACAAGGAAGCCAGGTCATGACTGTGGGAAAGTCGAGATACCACGCCCGGAAGGCTAATATGATAGATACGTCTTTGGATTATATGGTGAATCTCAACTTATATTGCAAGAGCATCCTAACAGATATGGTAGCAATATTTAATGTACAGACAATTAGTAGAATGCGAGATGGATTTTGAACCAATAATGAGCCAACTATCCCAGCAACTAATTCAATATAATCACCCAATTCATGTCTGGAAAAGGTGAAGGCCCAATTAGTTGCTCCAGGAGGAGGTTAGCATTGGCCATGTTGATGGAAGGAAAATGGTTCTTTATGATCATTAAAAGATTTCACTCGTTTTAGAGGAGTTAGAATTTGCAAGACATTTCTTGCCCTATTTAACAACTGAATGGGAGTCATTTTTTGAGAGCAGCTGCCAGTTTTACTTTGTCGAGCCTATTGGGCTTATTATTATGACAGGAGTAAACAGTTGTGTCTTCAACCTAAATACTTATTTAGGGTCTGGTACCATCTGGGAGATAAAAATGAAGATAGGAATCAGCATAGGGGATCCCTGCACTTTTGAAATGATTTAAAAGCGTGGATGTTCAATTTAACGTTCATTACACCATTTGTTAAGAACGATTGCGTTAAGTCAAATATTCGGCTAGAGTCACAAGACCTTGAGCTTGTAAATAAGACCAGCATGTCAGACCCTGTTAAACGTCTTTGAGTTTATCTAAAGCCACAACCTGAGCCTCAGCTTTGTTGTTCAGTTCAAGCATCTTATTACCCGGTCCTTTTAGCCTATTTCAGAGCTCCAATTATGAGGGACAATTATTATTAATACCTCAGTGCACAAAAACAAAGCATTTACACACATACACACAGACGCACTCATATATATATATATATATATATATATATATATATATATATATATATATATATATATATATATACTTTTATATGCATGCTCATGTTAGGCATTCCATGTGCATTATGTTACCTTAAAATATTTTTTGATTTTACTTTGTTTCTCATTTATCCGATTTGCTCTCCATGTGAGCGTAAATACCCCAAGCGCAAAAAAGGGCAATCCTTTTTCCCTGGTCATTTGTTCTCGGGTTTCCTGGACTGACGCCAAGTCTTCTTTGCATTTCTTTCTTACATTATATTAGGGATCTTGTGGTGCCATCAGTTCTGCAAATCGGTCGTTGCTGCTAAAGCCAAAGGCCCTTATCTAAAGTGGCAGGGTAAAGATTCTAATTATTTTGCTACCAATGGGTACATAAATTTGGTAAGGTTGTTAACCGTAATTTCTCTCTGGTTATTCGTCTTTTGTTTTATATTTCTTTCATCTCATTCAGTTACTCTTTCTCTTAATTTCTTCTTTTTTTTCTGTTTTTCTTTCACCTTCTCTATCACTTACCTTTTTCCTTTCTATTTACTACCAACCCCACTCGTATCTTTTCTCTTTTGCCTTTAAATTTAGTTGTAAAGCTTTTCCATTTTCTCTTTCGTTCTTTCTTTGTTTTTCGCATTTCTTTCTGCATTTTACTCTTCTCTGTCTTCGTCCCTTTTCTGATAATCCTTTCTTTTTCTTTCTTTCTTTCTTTCTTTCTTTCTTTCTTTCACCTTCTCTATCTCTTACCCTTTTCCTTTCTATTTACTATCTCCTCCTATCTTTTATTTTATTTTTCTTCAATTTCTATCATTTCTTTCTGCATTTTGCTCTTCTTTGTCTTCCTCCTTTTTCAGATAATCTTTCTTTCTTTCATTCTTTCTTTCTTTCACCTTCTCTATCTCTTACCTTTTTACTTTCTCTTTACTATCCCCTTCTATTTTTTTTTCATTGCATTCAATTTTTGTCATGACTCTTTCCCATTTTCTCTTTCGGTCTTTCTTTGTTTTTCTCTTTTCTTTCTGCATTTTGCTCTTCTCTGTTTTCCTCCTTTTTCTCATAATCCTTCTTCTTTTCTTTCTTTCTTTCTTACTTTCACCCTCTCTATCTTTTACCTTTTCCCTTTCTCTTTACTATCCACTCATATCTTTTATCTTTTGCCTTCAATTTTTGTTATAACTCTTTTCTATTTTCTCTTTCGGTCTTTCTTTGTTTTTCTCTTTTCTTTCTGCATTTTGCTCTTCTCTGTTTTCCTCCTTTTTCTCATAATCCTTCTTCTTTTCTTTCTTTCTTTCTTTTCTTTCACCCTCTCTATCTTTTTACCTTTTCCCTTTCTCTTTACTATCCACTCATATCTTTTCTCTTTTGCCTTCAATTTTTGTTATAACTCTTTTCTATTTTCTCTTTCGGTCTTTCTTTGTTTTTCTCTTTTCTTTCTGCATTTTGCTCTTCTGTCTTCCTCCTTTTTCTGATAAACCTTCTTTCTTTCTTTCTTTCTTTCTTTCTTTCTTTCTTTCTTTCTTTCACCTTCTCTATCTCTTACCTTTTCCTTTCTCTTTACTATCTCCTCCTATCTTTCACTTATCCTTCAATTTGTTATAACACTTTTCCATTTTCTCTCTCGTTTTTTTGTTTGTTTGTTTTTTTTTTGTTTTGTTTTTCGCATTTTTTCTTCATTTTACTCTTCTCTGTCTTTGTTTCTTTTTCTCTCTTTTCGGCAAGCCTACTCACATACAAACGCATTTCATACGTGTCCACATTTTTATGTAAGTAAATATATTTTTTTATATTACGTTGGGAAATCAGCTTTTCCTTGGATTTTGATCTAAAATTTTCACATAATAATATTTAAGTGTATGCAATGAATATTCGCTATTGAATTAAGTGCCTTAGCAAGATACTAGTTTCTTTGATAATGAATATATTTTGTGTAAAGTATATGTCTTTTCTTAATTAATTTACATTATTTTATGCAACAATGTAAATACCGCAAAGTTATCCATTTTATTATTATTTGCTCAAGCTCGATATCAATTTAATTCTTATTTATAGAATTTAACCCAGATTCTCTTGGCGTCAGTTTAAACTGACCACGACTTTTGTCATGTATTGTAACCATTTTGTTTAATTTTTTTCTTCTTAATTTTACAGGAAACAATGAACAAGTTGCAACATATTTCAACGGATATTCCACTTTTCAAAATGATTTTTTAGAATTATAGTTTAATTATTTTCTTTACAAAATGACGGCCTCGTTATTTTCCGACTGTCATTATTTCATGAATCGATTAGCAATCATTTCATTCATTTTCTTCATTTAATGTCGAAAAGACTTTCTTTTTAATTTTGTAACCGACAAACAAACATAGAATTTGGATCATTATTCCCAGGATAAGCGGAAATTAGGATCCCACCTCAATTATTAAGTGGCAAATTTGACTTGAAATTGCTTTAATCATCAAATTAGGGCATTTCAATAGTTTAGCCATGGCAGAGTTCTTGCGATGATATGCGAATTTTGCTTTTTACCGTCAGAAACAAATATATAAAAATGTGTATCTTTATTATCAGGGTGAGCAGGAACACTGACACCACACAATTATTAAGTGGCAAATTGAACGTGAAATAGAATTATTAGTATTTTTTAATCTAGTTCCAGGAAGGCACAATGGGTTACAGGGTGTGGAAGAATTAGAAAACAGAAACATCACTGAGGAGCGAGGACAATAGAAGTGTAATCAGGAAGAGAGTAGATAGCGATTGACATTGCATTTAAATTTTTGCAGATTAAATTTGACTAAAAAGCCTCGAGAGGAAAGAGAACGATAGAAGTGTAAACATTGCATTTAAATTTTTGCAGATTAAATTTGACTAAAAAGCCTCGAGATGAAAGAGAACAATAGAAGTGTAAACATTGCATTTAAATTTTTGCAGATTAAAATTGACTAAAAAGCCTCGAGAGGAAAGAGAACAATAGAAGTGTAAACATTGCATTTAAATTTTTGCAGATTAAAATTGACTAAAAAGCCTCGAGAGGAAAGAGAACGATAGAAGTGTAAACATTGCATTTAAATTTTTGCAGATTAAATTTGATTAAAAGCCTCGAGAGGAAAGAGAACAATAGAAATGTAAACATTGCATTTAAATTTTTGCAGATTAAAATCGACTAAAAAGCCTCGAGATGAAAGAGAACAATAGAAGTGTAAACATTGCATTTAAATTTTTGCAGATTAAAATTGATTAAAAGCCTCGAGATGAAAGAGAACAATAGAAGTGTAAACATTGCATTTAAATTTTTGCAGATTAAAATTGACTAAAAAGCCTCGAGAGGAAAGAGAACAATAGAAGTGTAAACATTGCATTTAAATTTTTGCAGATTAAAATCGACTAAAAAGCCTCGAGATGAAAGAGAACAATAGAAGTGTAAACATTGCATTTAAATTTTTGCAGATTAAAATTGACTAAAAAGCCTCGAGATGAAAGAGAACAATAGAAGTGTAAACATTGCATTTAAATTTTTTGCAGATTAAAATTTACTAAAAGCCTCGAGAGGAAAGAGAAACAATAGAAGTGTAAACATTGCATTTAAATTTTGCAGATTAAATTTGACTAAAAAGCCTCGAGAGAGGAAAGAGAACAATAGAAGTGTAAACATTGCATTTAAATTTTTTGCAGATTAAAATTGACTAAAAGCCTCGAGATGAAAGAGAACAATAGAAGTGTAAACATTGCATTTAAATTTTTGCAGATTAAAATTGACTAAAAAGCCTCGAGAGGAACGAGAACAATAGAAGTGTAAACATTGCATTTAAATTTTTGCAGATTAAAATTGACTAAAAAGCCTCGAGAGGAAAGAGAACAATAGAAGTGTAAACATTGCATTTAAAATTTTGCAGACTAAAATTGATTAAAAGCCTCGAGATGAAAGAGAACAATAGAAGTGTAAACATTGCATTTAAATTTTTGCAGATTAAAATGGATTAAAAGCCTCGAGATGAAAGAGAACAATAGAAGTGTAAACATTGCATTTAAATTTTAGCAGATTAAAATTGATTAAAAGCCTCGAGATAAAAGAGAACAATAGAAGTGTAAACATTGCATTTAAATTTTGCAGATTAAAAATTGATTAAAAAGCCTCGAGATAAAAAGAGAACAATAGAAGTGTAAACATTGCATTTAAATTTTGCAGATTAAAATTGACCAAAAAGCCTCGAGAGGAAAGAGAACAATAGAAGTGTAAACATTGCATTTAAATTTTTGCAGATTAAAATTGACTAAAAAGCCTCGAGATGAAAGAGAACAATAGAAGTGTAAACATTGCATTTAAATTTTTGCAGATTAAAATTGACTAAAAAGCCTCGAGATGAAAGAGAACAATAGAAGTGTAAACATTGCATTTAAATTTTTGCAGATTAAAATTGACTAAAAAAAGCCTCGAGGAAAAGAGAACAATAGAAGTGTAAACATTGCATTTAAATTTTTGCAGATTAAAATTGACTAAAAAGCCTCGAGAGGAAAGAGAACAATAGAAGTGTAAACATTGCATTTAAATTTTTGCAGATTAAAATTGACTAAAAAGCCTTGAGAGGAAAGAGAACGATAGAAGTGTAAACATTGCATTTAAATTTTTGCAGATTAAATTTGACTAAAAAGCCTCGAGATGAAAGAGAACGATAGAAGTGTAAACATTGCATTTAAATTTTTGCAGATTAAAATTGACTAAAAAGCCTCGAGAAGAAAGAGAACAATAGAAGTGTAAACATTGCATTTAAATTTTTGCAGATTAAAATTGATTAAAAGCCTCGAGATGAAAGAGAACAATACAAGTGTAAACATTGCATTTAAATTTTTGCAGATTAAAATTGAAAAGCCTAAAAAAGAACTCGAGATGAAAGAGAACGATAGAAGTGTAAACATTGCATTGAAATTTTTTTGCAGATTAAAATTGACTAAAAAAGCCTCGAGAGGAAAGAGAACGATAGAAGTGTAAACATTGCATTTAAATTTTTGCAGATTAAAATCGACTAAAAAGCCTCGAGATGAAAGAGAACAATAGAAGTGTAAACATTGCATTTAAATTTTTGCAGATTAAAATCGACTAAAAAGCCTCGAGATGAAAGAAACAATAGAAGTGTAAACATTGCATTTAAATTTTTGCAGATTAAATTTGACTAAAAAGCCTCGAGAGGAAAAGAGAACAATAGAACAATAGAAGTGTAAACCTACAAGTAAAATTTTGCATTTAAATTTTGCAGATTAAAATTGACTAAAAAGCCTCGAGATGAAAAAAAGAGAACAATACAAGTGTAAACATTGCATTTAAATTTTGCAGATTAAAATTGAATAAAAAAGCCTCGAGATGAAAGAGAACAATAGAAGTGTAAACATTTTAAATTTTGCAGATTAAAATTTTTGAAAGAGAACAGATTAAAATTTTGACTAAAAAGCCTCGAGATGAAAGAGAACAATAGAAGTGTAAACATTGCATTTAAATTTTTTGCAGATTAAAATCGACTAAAAAGCCTCGAGATGAAAGAGAACAATAGAAGTGTAAACATTGCATTTAAATTTTTTGCAGATTAAAATGGATTAAAAGCCTCGAGATGAAAGAGAGAACAATAGAAGTGTAAACATTGCATTTAAATTTTGCAGATTAAAATTGATTAAAAAGCCTCGAGATGAAAGAGAACAATAGAAGTGTAAACATTGCATTTAAATTTTTAAAAAGCAGATTAAAATCGACTTAAAAACTAAAAAGCCTCGAGATGAAAGAGAACAATGACAATAGAAGTGTAAACATTGCATTTAAATTTTTGCAGATTAAATTTGACTAAAAAGCCTCGAGAGGAAAGAGAACAATAGAAGTGTAAACATTGCATTTAAATTTTTGCAGATTGAAATTGACTAAAAAGCCTCGAGAGGAAAGAGAACAATAGAAGTGTAAACATTGCATTTAAATTTTGCAGATTAAAATTGACTAAAAAGCCTCGAGATTAAAATTGACTAAAAAGCCCCTGAATGAAAGAACAATAGAAGTGTAAACATTGCATTTAAATTTTTTAAAATTGCAGATTAAAATTGACTTAAAAAAAAAGCCTCGAGATGAAAGAGAAACAATAGAAGTGTAAACATTGCATTTAAATTTTTTAAAGCAGATTAAAATTGATTTAAATTTTGCTTAAAAACTAAAAAACCTCGAGAGGAAAGAGAACAATAGAAGTGTAAACATTGCATTTAAATTTTTGCAGATTAAAATTGACTAAAAAGCCTCGAGAGGAAAGAGAACAATAGAAGTGTAAACATTGCATTTAAATTTTTGCAGATTAAAATTGATTAAAAGCCTCGAGATGAAAGAGAACAATAGAAGTGTAAACATTGCATTTAAATTTTTGCAGATTAAAATGGATTAAAAGCCTCGAGATGAAAGAGAACAATAGAAGTGTAAACATTGCATTTAAATTTTTGCAGATTA